TTCAAATTTATTATGAAATTTTAATGTCTATGTTCATATATAATTTTAGTGGACTAACGTGTATACATGATAATAGTTATTTTTGCTAACTTATTTACACTTATTTACTTTGGTGTAAATAAGATGTAAATAATTTCAAATTTATTATGCATTTATAATGGCTATGCTTGTGTGTGTATACATTAAGTTCTGAGTCTGAATCAGAAAATAAAGAGCAAGACTCACAAACTTTATCAATCAAAACAGTGGATCTCGCATACGATACCACCACCTTCAAGATTATCAAGACTAGAAAGAAAAGTATATATATATATATATATATTAAAAGTGTATGAAAAAGCATTTAAGATTCCTTGTAACATCAAACAAGGAAAAATATTAAGCATGATGATGGATCAAAAATTTCAAGCAAAGCATTGTTGTTCCTGCTACACAAAAACAAGGAGGAATAGTAAGCCATGATGAATCAAAGGATTCAAGCAAAGCATTATTGTTCCTGCTATACAAACACAAGAAGAAATAGTAAGCCATAATGGATCAAATAGTTAAAGTTATTCCCATTACAATGCAAAAGAGCGAACATCCAACAAAATCTTTGTTCAGCTTTTTGTCATTTCATACTATTATCTTTTGAATTATTGTATAATTTTAGTCATTTTCATTAGTCGAAAAAAATGTAAAAAGAGACAGGAGCTCTCTATAAAAATGCTCCAATTTTATGTTGAAAGGCATGGCCTCATTTTACCATTTAAAGAATAAAATTCTTTTTGAATCAAAATTCTCTTATTCTAACAACATTTTATTTTTTTAAAATAAAAATAAATTTTATTAAATCAAAACCACTTAATTTTGGCCAGCCCATGTATAAAAAAGGGTTATCATTTGTAAAGAGAATTCATTTTTTATTACTAAATTTATTTTTATTAAATATCTTTCTATTGATACTTTAGCAAGAATCATCATATATCATCTGTTTTTAATTCAGGTTCAGGTTCTTCTGTTGAAGAAGTTTCATGTCAATATTCATGTTTTAGATATTGAATATGTTTTTTCATATGGTGTTGGTCATTCTTTAAATGTGAAAGTTCTTTTTTAATTTCTTTTATTTTCGTTTTTAATTCTAAATTTTAAATTTGTTTAGATTTTGTATTTTTATATCTATTAAAAATTAAATCTTGAAATTATACATTTGTGAAGGATTGAAAATAATTTTTTCTTTATCTTTTAAGGAGTATTTTAATAATAAATGTTTTCTTTTTAAGGTTTGGATCTTGAATTTTATCAATAACTTCTATTATAAATTCTTGATCTTTAGTTAACATATTTATTGCATATTCGTCTTCTTTAGAGGATTCTGATGTTGTATGTAATTCATCGATTTGTAAATCTTCTGATTATGTTAATGTATTTTGTTTAGAAGAAGTAGATTCTAATAGAACTTCATTAAATTTTTGTTCAATATCTTCATCTAGATTTAAGTTATTAATTTTTCTTTTGATTCTATAATATTTTGAAACATGTCATGTTTCTCCACATCTGTAGCATTTTATCATTTTATCGATTTTATTTTTTATATCTTTGTTTCTTATAATATTAGGAATATTTTTCTTTTTATTTTCCTTTGGTTTCGTAGGGCAACATGTTTTTGAAAATGAGTATTCATCCCTGATGTCAAATTGATGCCAGAATGATCCTAATTCTTTTTTACAAATATATCTTTCTCTTTTAAGTTGTTTTTGTAGTTTTATATCCTGGCATACTTTTAATCCTTCCTTTTGGGTGAAACTAATCAATTCACTGTATGTGAGTTTCTTGTATGGGACCCGTACAAAGGCTTGTTTTTATGGTTCCTAATAAGGGATCATTGAACATAATATGTCTTTGATTTCTTAATACTATTAAAATTGATGTATTTTTAATAGTTTTCACACTAAAAGGCTTGACACCTACTTGGACTAATCCAAAATGGATGTACTTATACTTTTAATCTCTGAGTTTATTAATGATTGTTTTATCTGAAAATTGAATAATTTGGTATTTTTTTAATAGAAAAACTTTTTTTTTTGTTTTTATAATGTAATTACAGAAAGTATTTAGACTCTTAAAAGTGTTTTTCTTATAAATTTGATTTATAGGGACAATAAGAATGTTCCTATTGTCGAATTTTTGAGGAATATTTTCATAATGTTCTTATTGTACATTAACAATTTGAGAGGTTTGATCAGATTCTTGGGATTGATTAGAAACAAAACTTGCAGAAGAATTGGTTCTCCTAAAAAATGGAAACATTATTTTATTTTCAAAAATATTTATGAGTTCTAGTTTAATTATTTTTGTTAAAATATTACTATAATTGTTGAGTTTTGATATAGTAGTCCAGTCAGTCATGGATTAGGCATGTCATGGATTTAATATCTCTGTAGGTAATTGTAGTAATTTTGTAATATTGATAGTAAATATCACCTAATTTAGATTATTTTATTTTATAATATCATGTATAAAATGAACATTTTATCTTCTTAAACATATTTTTTTTTTGACAACAATACTAAATACCAAAATTTTAAACTCAACTTTTCAAAATTACTTCTCAAAACACATGAATTTATATAGAGATAAACTTTATATTTAGAAATTATGTATGTAGTCACCCAATTATTACTTTCGTTCAATTTTGGTCATCCAACTATATAGCCTCCCATTAACAAATTAATGGTGACGCTAACGTGTCATCATTAGCTAATACTACATCATCATTAAAAAATAAAAACTAACACGTTAATAATTTTATTAATTTTTTAGTGATGGACATAAATCCACTTTCCATTGATATATAAGAGAGAGGGCTCTCCCTTGAATGAACTCTTAATGGTTAGGTTACTACCTGCCTCTATAGATGAGGTGTACTTCGTACCATCGAGAGGTCATATAAATCGAAACCCAGAATGATAAGAATGAAAGGATTGGTCTAGCCACAACTGCAATTACTGTCACTTCAAAATAGGCTTAGATTCTAAGGTGGTGTTTGTTTTTGTAGAGGTAAAAGGTCTGTAGTATGCGGACCACATCTGTAGGCATATGCAGTAGAAGAGGTGGACCAAAAGTCTGCATTATGCAAGAAGAAGACTGTTTGTTTTTTAACGTCTGCAGACTGCTAAAATAAACTGAAATATAAATAAACTGATTTTTTAAACTTAAAAGAGTTTTGCAATACTGAGATTTAAATAATTTTAGTTTTACAATACTGAAATTTAAATAATTAATACAACAACAATAATAATTTTTTTAGAAAAACAAACACCGCCTTATTAACTCTATTATAAGTCTCACATAATCACATGTATTATTAGTTTTAAAAGTTTTATAGAATAAAATTTATAAATGATCATTAAATTATATGATTTTTTAAATATGCAATTAGGTAATACTTTTAATTTTTTTAAATATATATTCATAATTTCTTTTTTATAATTATATGATATTTTTAGAATTTTTTTTAATTTATAAAATTATTTTATGATTATTTTTTATTTAATTGTGATTATATTTTAAAATTTTAAAAACATAATTTATAATTTTTTTATATTTTAAAATCTTAATTATCAAACAATGAAATCATTTTTTATTAAGCAATGTGGTTTAAATACTTACATTTTGTATAAAAAGTTTAAATATAATTTAAAAATAACAAATCAAAAAAATATTATATTTAAACTTAAATCAAAATAATTAAAATAAATATAAAATTTTAATAATATATAAAATAATTTATATGATATAAAATTAAATATCTATAATATAATATTAAAAATTAATATTTAATTTATTTAAAAAAATAATATAAAATTAATATCTATAATATAATATTAAAAAATTAATATTTAATTTATTTAAAAAATTAATATTAAAACTAAAATCAAATATAATATAAAATTAAATATAAAACCTCTTTGAAGAGGTTAGAAGACGTCTGTAGACATAAGGCTACGTCTGCGCCGCGCAGACCACACGCAGACGTTAGAAGAACTTCTATCTTCTAAAAAACAAACGGTCTGCGAAGCTCAATGTCTACACGTGGTCTGCGCGGCGCAGACATAAGAGCTTTGCAGACATTACACAATAAAAATAAACACCACCTAAGTGTGCAACTGAAAGCCTTTTTCAGGTCGTGCAATAGGAAGGTGTAAACGCCTCGAAAGCCTTTGGTACTTTGGCAGAATGAGCAACCCTTAAACCAAAAAAGAGGTTTGAAACCCTTCTCCTATTTATATTTATAGGTTCATTCTCTATTCGGTTTGCCTCAAACAAAATGAGAAAAAAAAGGTGAGGTCTAAGGTAATATTAGTAATGATTTTGACGAAAAAAATAGTTGGATTATTAAAATAGAATAAAATGATATTTAAGTGACTAAATACTACTTTACCTTTAAATTTATTCATGAACAAAACGAACATTCTAAGTTTTTTTTTTGTAAAGTACACAAATGATTCTTCGACTATAAGATATTATTTTTGTTGAGTCTCTTGACTGTTAAAGTTATAAAATAGTCACCAGACTATTCTACTATTTTCCAAACTCGTCATTTTTCGTTAAAAAATTAAATATCGTATGAGCTAAAAATTAACATGCTGACTGAGACATGATAGTTGTTTGAGATTATGATATCAAATTTTATCACATCTCAATTAGGTGGTTAATGTCCAACTCAGATTGTCATTAAATTTTTAACGAAAAAGGACGAATTTAAAATATAATTAATAGTCGAATGATTATTTTATAACTTTTAATAGTCGAAAATATCAAAAAAACAATTTACTATAATAAGAAAATCATTTTATAAATTTTAATAATCGAATACTCAACAAAACAATATGCTATATTTGGTACTTTAAGCTTTTTTTTTCTTGGTTACGAAGATATTCAGGTGAAAGGGCCAACTTACTGACTATCGAGGAAGTTAAAAAAAAAGAAAAAAGAAAAAGAACTGTGAAAGTGTAGGGTAGATTAGAAGCACCAGTGCATAAAATATACAAGAAGCGATTCCCTTTACCTTCTCATTTCTCTGTTTGAGATTTCAGATCATAGGGGAGGAAAAAAAGGGGAGAAAATGTCGAAGAAGGATCTGTTCAAAGAACATGTGGAAGAAGAAGAAGTGTGCAGAGCTGACTTCCCTCCTAACTTCGTGTTTGGGGTTGCCACTTCTTCATATCAGGTATGTTACATATGTACAAATCTAAAAAAAAAATGCTAGCCTTGCATTCAGTTTCAGAGTACGATCTGCCACTCAGATTTTCTCCGACTTCTAAATTTTCTTGTATCTTTTCTTATTTCCTTTCGAGATTTCATGATAGGTTTCTAATTTGCTTCAATTATTAAAGATATTTTTAAAAACAATTAAGGAAATTTGTGAATCCATTTAACTTTTACCGTTTTCTTTTATTCCGTTTTGTTAAGTTCATTCCGGTCTTTGGATGACCCAAGCTTTCCTCACTCGTTAATCTCAGGCTTCTGAAGAAACTTTGAAGGCGCCATTTATTTACTAGTTTCTTTGATCCATCTTCCTTTCTAATTGTTATTATTTTGTTTTTATGGTGGATTTGAAACCTTGTAAAAGTAAAATAAGAATATACTTCTATATGAACTTATGAAGTAGAGGTGTAACTTGTAAGTAGGTATCAGCTTTGTTTTTGTTTTTCCCAGAAAAAAACAAGATAGAAAAAGAGAACTTAAAGTTTAGATCAGAGAAATGGTAAAAAGAAGCTATTTTCTTTTTAACATCTTACTGAATCGCCGACGAGGGGTTGGCATAATTGCATGAACTTGCTCTCCTTGCTATAAAGGCCTATATTTGAGACTTACCGGTGGCCGCATATTGATATTAATCTCGAAAGCAGCCAATGAAGCTTTCTGCAGTGCTCATCTTGCATTGGCCTAGGGGTTGCCTATCTGCCCCTAGATACATTTTTACCAAAAAGAAACTCTTACTGGAGTTTTAGCAGCTGGCACCATATAAATAATTGAACCCTTTTAGATTTTGGAGTTTAGTTTTTGCATGTTTTCAGATTGAAGGAGCCTGCAATGAGGGTGGCAGGGGTCCTAGCATATGGGATTCTTTTTCACACACAGAAGGTATACCGCTTTTCTCTTTTAAAACAACTACGACTAATAGTATAGGAAAAATGAAAATGAAAAATTCTTGCTGTAACTATTTTGGTTGATATAGGAATTTTTTACTTGAACTTGATTGGGAAACTCTGTTTTCCTAGGAAAAATTATTGATGGAAGCAATGGTGATGTGGCAGTTGATCATTATCATCGATACAAGGTGGGTAATACCAGTATTTGCCATGTTTTGCTGTGTTTTTATTTGTTCGTTCTAAGAGTTGAAGTTTTGTAATTCTAAATTTGATTTTATTATTGAGGGAATTCATGAGATTTTGTGCCCTTTTTATATTTGGAAGTGGATCTTTAAGCAAAATTCTGTGTTGTTTATGAAAAAATTTCATGTGTTGAAGTTACAACTTATACTCAGATATTATCAGTTTGACAATTGTTTATGCATTTGAGTGACTCTAGAAGGGACCCGTGGTGGTAAAAATTCTCTTGAACTGTTATCATTTGAACAATTATCATTAATTTCTACATTACAATATAAAGTATATTTGTTCACATTGATCTTTCAGATGTCAGTTTTTTGATTTCTAATGTATACAGGAAGATGTTGACCTTATACACAAGTTCGGATTTGATGCTTATAGGTTCTCCATATCATGGTCTCGAATCTTTCCAGGTATGCTTTTTTCTACTATAATTATTCCTGTACATGGTTAATATTTGTGTTTTATTATAATATTAGATTCTTCGTAGAACAAAGCATTTTCCCATCAAGTCCTTTCTTCTACTTCATAAGTTTGCGCTAGTAAAATGAACTGTAGTTGACCATCCGTGCAGAATTCAGTCTTCCCCGTTGGCTTGTTCCAATAAGTTATCTTAAGTAAATTCTTGTTGAACTTTTGCTTGGGCTTTCCAGAATCAAGGATGGTGAGAGGAAGTTTTATGCATATATATACACCTTAATTTTGATTCTAGATATAGGCAAGACCCGATGGATATGTTATATTTTATTGTACTATGCTAGACTTTCTTTTTGTTTTACTAAGATCTCTGGGTGTGTAAGATTCAATCATCCCATATCATATCTGGACCAAATTTTAGTATTGATTCCTTAAATCAGTAGTATATATAACCTTGTCTATTAGCTGAACTTAAAAAGCATTGAAATATTCATTAATTCGTTTAATCTAGCCTTGACCACACCATAGAAACATTCTGGTAGTCATATTTCAATTTTAAGATTCTGTATATGTCGTGAAGAAGATTGCTCTCTTCAACAAAGTAATTCCAGCCACAGTTAAAACAAAAACAAAGTAGACAATGAGTGAGAGAGATAGAGACGTAGAGAGAGTGAGAGAGATAGAGACGTAGAGAGAGAAAAAGTGAAAGGAAAGTCTTCTTCCAAGGAAGTGTAGACGGCGTTCGTTGATAATCTAAAAAGGAGGGTGTCACGACAAGAGTTAAGGGAGATGTTTTCTTTCCAAGGTCCAGTAGAAATAGTATTCATTCCGAGAGAAACTAGAAATCCGAAATACAAATTCTCCATTTTCGCCTTTGTGCAGTTCAGTAATGAAGCAAGTATGAAAGGGGCAATTGTCAACTTAAATGGTTCTTTGATTGATGGAAGGAGAATTACAGTGGGAGCAACAAGATACAAGGAAGCTCGTCCAAAGCCAGTGGAAAAGATCAGTTCAGTGTTGATGATTTCAGAGCAGAATAAAGAAGAGACTTCAAGATCATCAGAGAAACATGCTACTAATAGGAGTTTAAGGGATGTTAGATCATATAAGGATGCTTTAATATCAAATAGATTGAAGAGCAATGTTTCCGATTGTAGGGAGATGTCAAATGGAGGTATTCAAAGGGGAAAAATAATGAAAAACATATGGGAAATGCATATTCCCTCTGAAAGTTTCAGTTGGGTTAAGAGGTCATTAACGGGGATCATAAAACATTCTTTCGAGTTAGAGTTTGTTCAAAAAGCTCTAGTTAATGAAGGTTATGATATCCAAATTGCCAGTTGGGGTTATGTTTGGAATTCATGTATAGTAACTTTTCAGTCGACAAAAATGATGTTGGAGGCTTGGTTGAAGAAGGATGAATTATTTTTCTGGTTTGATAAGCTAGCACCCCTGTTGAATGAAGAAGGTATTCCAATGGCTTATTGTATGATAGAGTTTTATGGGATTCCATTGTTATGCTGGCAGAACACATTTCTGGAACGGTTAGCAGGAAGATGGGGAACGATGGAAGATATCCATGAAGCAACAAAGAACAGGGAGGACCTCTCGACAGCGAAGGTTCTGATCAGGGTGGAGAGCCCTTATGATGTTCCAGAGGTGATCACGATTGGAGCTTATGGAAGGTTCTTCAAAGTAAGTATTAAGTTGGGATCGGCGCTTGAGAATTCCTCGTTGTTTTCTAGTAATTCGCCGGTGGGTAGTTTCGATGGTAGACAAATGGAAAGAAGATTTCTACAGAGGAAGATGACATGTGTTTGTCATAAAGTGCGGAAAGTTCTGAACATTCAGCAGAAAATAGCAGACAAAAAGTTGACAAGTGGTTTGACCAGAGTGCTTATACGGGTTTGGTTGGAGTTGGTAGGGAAAATCACTTTCCAATGCTGAACACATATGGGAAAGGCATTAATAGAGGGGTGTCAGAATTTCAAAACCTTGGGAGAAACAAAATGGGGGAGCATGCGGGGTTGGGGTGCAGAATTTCAAATTTTTCGGCTGATGGATCTCAAGCCCAATCTGAAGAAAATGGGCAGTCTAGTTCTAAATAGGTTTGGGAAAATGGATAATAAACAAATTATAATTGAGTCTGTCAACAAAGAGAAAATTGACAAAGGAGGAATCTCTAAAACCTGTTCGACTAATAACAGTGGAGATGTGAATCAAAAAGAAAATTTAATGTTGGTTGGGTCTAATGCAGAGTTTAAAGAATGGCTTTCTAGGGGAAGATCGGTTCACCGGTATAAATCTTCATCATCTATTAAGAGTAAACCAATGGAGAGAAGAAGAATTTGCAGTTTCAAAAGGGTGTATAAAAGGTCCAGGTAGAGAAGACACTGGTTCGGGAATGATCCTTTTGTTATTCCGGAAAAAGAGAGAGCTCTAGATAGGCACAAGGAGAAGAATTTGGACTTAAGTTCAGCTCATACTGTCAATGTAGATGCAGATTTTAATGTGGAAGGCTGTGTGGAATCTACTATGGAGAGACATGAAGCTGACAAAAATATGGATAATTTGTTTGAAGGGTGGCTTTTAGAAGGAGACAGTTATAACTTCAATTCCAAGACTACCAACAAAAGAGTTAAAAGATTATTGTTGAGGGATGCATTAGATCAAGTTAGCATTTCAACAGTTTCTTCTCCAGCTTTTTCGGTTTTTATGGAGGAAGCACTAGCTACTTGGGAAATTAGTAAGCTTTTAGGGGTTTTAAGGAAGGGAAGTCTACCTTTTTGGAAAAAATTATAAACTTGGAGAAAGTTTTAAGACAAGTATGAGATCTTGTTCTTTTGGGTTGTTAAGGTTGTTGATTATTTAATGATGAAAAATAAGTTAGCCATTATTACATGGAATGTTGGGGGTTTGGGAAGAAAGGAAAAACAGAGAGCTGTTTAGAATTTGGTCTTAAAGAATCGCCCTATAATTCTTCTGCTGTAAGAAACTAAATTGGAGAAGGTTCAGAGTTATTTCTTAAGGAGTGGTTTGAATACCCTCCAAGGGTTTCTCGAATCTCCAACAGTGGGTTCCTCTGGAGGTTTATTGAGCTGTTGCGATGAGAGTTCGTTTGAATTGGAAGATCATGTCATTAACAGAAGGTTTATTGCCATTTCGGGAAATTTCGATCAAACCAACTTAGGTGCAGTTTTATTAATGTTTACGGGCCTAATGTTGAGGAAGAAAAAGTCAGTTTTTTTGAAGAGCTAGCTGATTTCATTAATGGACAAAGTATTCCTCTTTGTGTGGAAGGAGATTTTAATGTCTATTTATCAGAAAAAGAGAAGATTGGGAGAGCTCAAAACAGAATTTCAATGGGGATTTTCAGTCATTTTGTTCAGCAGACAAGATTAATTGATTTACCTTTGAATGGGGGTAGGCTCACATGGTGCAACAATCAGGATATCCCCACTTTTGTTAGATTGGACATGTTCTTAGTGGATGTTCATTTCTTGGAAGCTTTTCCTGATATTGTTCAAACTTTGCTCCCTAGGTCTGTGTCAGATCATAACACTATCTTTCTTGAGAATGAAGGAGTAAGTTGGGGTAAAAAACCTTTCAAACTCTTTAATTATTTGATGGACGAAGATGGCTTTGAGGAACTTGTTAATTCTACTGCTCAAGACAGCAAGAGAAAAAAGAACAGAGTTGGTATACTGGCTATTCTGAAATCAACCAAACTGGCAATAAAAACATGGGCAGGGAAGAGAGACCAATTTCCAGCAAAGGAGATTGCTGAATTAGAAGGAAGAATCCACAAGGAAGAGGAAAATTTCCAGCAGTTGCAAGACTCAAGTGGAAGAGAACAAGGAGCATAATTGTCTTCTTTGAGAACAGAATTATGGAGGCTGTATAAAATGGAGGAACAAATTTGGTTTCAAAAATCGAGATCGAAATGGGTGGTTCAAGGGAATCGCAATACAAGATTCTTTCATACATGTGCTTCAGTTAGGAAGAAGAGGAATTGCATTAGTGCTTTGAATGTTAATGGTGAGATTTTTCAAGATCTGGCTATTATTAAAGCTAGTGTCAGGGACCATTTTTTCAATATTTATATAAGTCTACCTTGGAAGTTGAAGATATGAAGTTGATTTTTTCCAGAATTTCTAAGGAACAAAATCTTCTATTAGAAAAAGAATTTTCGAAGGAAGAAATTTGGGAGTATTAAATCGTGTGATAGCAACAAAGCTTCTGGGCCAGATGGTTTTAATATGGGTTTTTTAAAAGATTTTGGTCTATCCTCAAGGCAGATATTCTGAAATTTTTCCACAATTTTTATTTGGGAAAATATTGGGAACATGGGATAAATCACACTTTCATTACTTTAATCCCAAAGGTGTCCAACATTGGTGGTTTAGATGATTATCGACCTATTAGGCCTAGTAGGAGGGTTGTACAAGATTATTTCAAAGTGTCTTTCAGGGAGATTAAGAAATTATATTACTGATATAATCAGTCCTACACAGTTTGCCTTTATCCCAGGTCGTCAAATATTGGATTGTTCTCTTATAGCTAACGAGGAGTAGACTTTTGGAGGAAAAAAAGACTTAATGGATGTATATTTAAGGTGGATTTCAAGAAGGCCTATGATACAATGTACTGTCTATACTTTTTCTAGTTATGGAGAAATGGGCTTTGGTACCAAATGGAGTAATTGGATCAGACAGTGTGTTACAACAGCCTCAGTTTCTGTTTTGGTCAATGGAGTCCCTTATGAGGAATTTCCAATGGCAAAGGGTCTTCGTCAGGGTTGTTCTCTTTCTCCTTTGCTTTTCAATTTAGTTGGGGAACTTCTAAATCTACTGCTTTTAAAGGCAGTATCTGAAGGGCTTTTTTTGGTTTGCAAATTGGTAGAAATGAGACTGCTGTCGATTTTTCTCACTTGCGTTTGCGGATGACCTTATAATTTTCTATGGTGCTTCGAAGAAGCAAATTTTAAATGTCAAGAGGGTTCTTAGAGTTTTTGAAATTATGTCTGAACTTCAAGTGAATCTAAGGAAGAGCAGATGATTTGGTGTCAATTTGAGTCAAGAGGAGATTGAGGAGTGGGCAGGAACAATTGGTTGCGCTGCTGGGTTTTTTCCCTCTGATTACCTAGGGCTTCCTCTGGGTGCAAAAAGGAATTCTTCATCACTTTGGGATCCGATTGTTCATAACTTTTATAACAAACTTGCTGGTTGGAAAGCTACAACTCTTTCTTTGGCAGGGAGGTTAGTTTTGGTCAAGTCGGTTCTTTGCTCACTTCCAACCTATTATTTGTCTCTTTTTAAAATCCCCTCGGTTAATTCTAAACTTAATTCCATTATGTCGAAGTTCTTATGGGAGGTGGATTGGAGAAAAACAAGATTCATTGGGTTAAATGGTCTTCTGTGTGCAAGCCTAAGAATGAGGGAGGTTTGGGAGTGATAAATCTTATCTATATGAACAGAGCCCTTCTGGGGAAATGGTCTTGGAGGTTTACTAATGATAGGAATGTTGTTTGGAGGATGTTGATATGCTCTAAATACAATCTTGAATCCTCATTAATGTTTAATAGCAAGGTTCCAAATCATGCTTCTTGGATTTGAGTTCATTGGTCAAGAATCATTTTAAAGAAGATTCATTTGGCTCTAAGTTTCGTAGTATGTGCAGAATTCAAGTGGGTAATGGTGAGTTGACTAGGTTTTGGCAAGACAATTGGGCGATGAACTGTTCGCTCAAGGATTCTTTCCCTAGACTGTTTTCCATTTCTTCTAATAAGAGCAGCAAATTAGTTGAGTTTGGTGAGTTTAGTTCAATGGGATGGATTTGGAATCTTCAGATGAGAAGGAATTTGACAGATTGGGAGTATGAACAATGGGTAAATTTGATGCCAATTATTTCGAGTTTCTGCCTGTCTAAAGAGGCTTCTGATGGACTGAACTAGAAAGGAAATGGGGCTGGTGACTTTTCTGTTAGCTCATGTGTGAAGGTGTGCTCTTCGGGTTCCCAGGAAGCTCAGTTATGGAATAACATTTTGTGGGGTTATGGGTATTGAAGATGTTTCTTGCCCTCTCTGTAAATCGGTGGATGAATCCTCTTCTCATTTATTCTTCTCTTGTTTTATTGTGTGGTCAATTTGGAACAAATTCATGCAGTTTTGGAGTCTAAGTTCGGCTATTCATGTCAATGCGCAAAGCTTTCTCCAAGCGTGGGAAGATTTAAATTCTAAATCTGTTATTTGGAAGTTTATTCCTGGTGCTATTATTTGGACTATTTGGAAAGTCAGAAATGCCATTGTTTTTAAAGGGAAGGAGTTAGACAAGATTTACTTATTTTTCTTAGCAAGATTTAGGCTTGCTTCCTGGTTCTTAGCTAAGTATAAAGATTCTTTTATCTCTAAGGATTTCCTTATTTGTAACCCTTCCATTGGGGATTCTTGTATCCCCATAACAATTCTATTATTACTTCGATCCCTTGGTCACCTCCTCCTAAGGGTTTTGTCAAATTGAATGTGGATGTAGCTACCAGTGGGGATTTGAAGAGAAGTTGAATTGCTGGTATTCTTAGAGATGATGCTGGTCTGTTTCTAGGTTCTTTCAAGGAGGCTTCAGGTCCGGGTCCACTTACTATGATGGAGCTAAGGGCTATTCAGAAGGCATTATCTTTTTTTGATTCGCTGAAAGGAAGTATTAAGGGTCGGTTGATTATTGAAACTGATTGTAAAATGGTAGTAGATTGGGTCAAGAATGGTGTTATTTCTTCTGAGATGTATGTCTTAATTGTCAGGGATATAGCTGAAAGGCTGAGAGAATTTGAGGGTGTAATTAGATGGGTTGCTAGAACAACCAATATGGAGGCAGATGCGCTAGCTAAGGCTGGTATTGGCTAATTACATTGTGGTTTTTAGGGGTATTTTATGTTGGGTATTCGGGTTCTTTGTAAGGGTTTTTATGTTGTTTTAAATCTTATGTATCTATTCCTATTAATGAAGTATAAGACACTCTTTTCCTCCTTCCTATGATTAAGGAAATCTTTTGAGTTCCATTAATCATGAAGGGTTCAATTCTTGTCAAAAGAAAATTTAAGATTCTGTAGGGACTAGGAGGTTTGATGGGCAGAATTTTGTAACGATCATTTAAGAGAGGTTTTTTTCAGTTGGTTTTTCTAGTTTTTATTATGATGAATATTTTTTGATAAATGTAGGAGGCCTCATTAAAAACCTCCCTCATAGTAGTCCCTTTCCCGAAGGAAAGGATGAATTCTTTGATTTTCAACCAAATTTTATCTTTGTTGTCATGGTGCTTACTTCATGATATTATGACAAATGGGAAAATCAGGGTTTCCATGGCGAATGATCTGATATCTGAATTATTATAGAAAGGAAAGACAGAGTTTGGTTCTCAGTAAAAGAAGTCGGCTACTAGTGGTCTCAAGCTTTAAGTATGTGTATAAAATTCAATGGGAAAGTATGACATAAATGTTTGTTTAGTAAACTAATTGTTGACACAATCATTTCTTTGATGCACAAAACCAAGTAATTAATAGTTTTCTAGTGAGTGGATATTAAACTAGTGCTGTCACGTGACTATGAAATGTGTAACTGGATATAGAGAGGAAATACTTTAGTTGTCTGTCTCTTTCTTTTATGCCTTTTTTTAAGTTTACTTTCTTATCAGACATGTATCTTCCTCTGTGTCTATTAATTATTCATGTCTTCGGTCATAATGTTAGCATATCAAGCGCCAATAATTTGTCTATGAAGGAAACTTTCAACATTCTTTATACCCTTTAATTAGTAAGGGTATGATCTCAGTTATGAGAATGATGAATGTGTGCGCAATGAATGCAGTACTGAATGATGATTTCCATACCTTCAAAATAAATAATTAAATAGCCGGGGCTCTTTATATTCCTAAGAATAGTTCAAGTTCACTAATATGTAGCTTTATCCGTTTCTAATTCTTTCTCATATGTAGCTTGACCATTTTCTTCATTTTAACTTTTTCCCAAACTCGTCCCCAATTTCTGTTCTTTAATGAATAAGTAGGCATTTTCAAAAATAAAAATAATGAATAAGTAGGCGCAACATCATAATATTCCTTCTTTTATTGATATAATTTTGAATGATCTAGGGAGCTTATTTTGATCCCCACTTAAGATCAAATCATGTCCCCAGTGCTACTTGTACTTGAAGCGTCAATGCCTCTTTATACTTTTAGCTTGTGGAATAAGTGTACCTTGCATTTGGTAACAAATGAAGTTGTACTGTTTTATGTTGTTCTTGTAGATGGACTGGGAACCGAAGTAAACAAAGAAGGAATTGCCTTCTACAACAATCTCATTAATGCTCTTATTGAAAAGGGTATGCAACCCTTTGTACTTAATCCCTCGTAGCTGTGATTGTAACAAATGTTAATTAAAGATCACGTTTTTGCAGGCATTCAGCCTTTTGTAACTTTGTACCATTGGGATCTCCCTTTGCATCTCCAGGAATCAATTGGAGGGTGGTTAGATAAGCAAATTGTGTAAGTATTATGCCGTTAATGAATTATTTGATAGTATGTTGGAACTAGGGGTGTAATCGAGCCAGGACTAGCTCAAATAGTGAAATGCTCAAACTCGACTCCAACTCGCAACATGAAACTCTTCTTGAGCTCAGTAAGGGTCTGGTTGTCACCACACACCTTTTCTGGAAAAGGTTTCCAAAATTTTCCCGTGCTTATTTGAAGAAGATGAACTTGGTCAAAGTAACATTTTCCAAGTCAGTAGTAAGAAATACTTAACTTTAACGTAAAGTGGAAGACATTTTACAGACCCTTTTTCTCAAACTTTTGACTGATGACTCGCATTCAACACCTCTAAGGAATACTGTTGCCTAACCTTTTTCTCTCCACTATTGACTTTGCTGCCTTAATCTTTCTTGTTTCCATGTTATCTTCTTTCATTGTTCCATTCTTTTAACCAGATCCCTACTTCAACCAAATCTGAGAAATGCCCAGAAATTTAACAGATCTTTGTGATAGCCAAATCAATCGCAAATCTGAATTAGCTTTGTTTCATCCTGGACAAAAAATGTATGATTTTCCATCTTGTCTTCCAAGGTCCTATATCCGTTTGATCTGATATGGGAGTAGAGAAGCAATCTAACGGTTTCTTCCTTGAACATTAGGATCAAGGAAGAAATCTAACTTTTACAGTTGGGGTTTAGTACAAACTTTTTCTATCCTCGTTGAATTGATCCTTCGTTTACTAATGTAAATTTCCCAGAAAATTTTCCAGAAAATATTTTAGACAGGATCATCCAAAAAACAAAAAATATCAAATTTTCTAGAAAACAAGTCTATTTTCCTGAACTTATTTTCAACAAAACAAATGGACTCAGAGTTTCATTTTTATAGTTTCAGCTCGACTCAAAAAAAAAAAAAAAACCATTCAATTTTTCTCAACTAGACTCTTATACCTGGTCGAAATGAGTTCAATTTTCGCTCTTGATATCAAACTTGATTATTTATGTTCAAGCTTGAATTTGAGATTTTTATTAGCGATTAAAATTAATAAAACATTATATTAAGAACAAAAATTGTATTAGGCTTACAAAGCACTCAAGTGGGGCATTAAGATGCTTGAACATGGCTCTCAAGCTCGGATCAAGAATGACTGCCAAATTGAAGTTTTTCCCGAGCTTCTATGCACCCCTAGTTGGAACTTGTGTATTACATTACATTATATGTTCCTTGTGCATGCTTGTTTATTTGCGGCTATATGGTGGTACCAATAAAAATTGACATGCACAAGGAACATAGCAAGTGGAATAAAAGGAAGAAACTCATATTCTAATGGCACCTTTTTGTGACAAATGCTAATATAACACAAGTCTAATAATTTTCATTTCTTATGTGCATGAGGAATGAGAATATCGTGAGACATCGTATCAATTAGAATCCGTTTCATATCATTTTCTGGGAAGATTCCTTGTAAATTTCTTTTGATATTGCAAAATCGAGTCTATTTTTTCCTTCAGATTAGATAACGTTATGTTTACAATGACTAAAACAATATGCTGCTTTGTTTGCCCTTAATAATCTGTGGAAATTGTCTAGATGTCAAAAAATCAATAAAAAACTCGAGATGAGAGAGAGGGAGAGAGAAGTTGTGAGAGAAAGGGCGAAAAGTAATTTTTTTTCCGAGGAGATTTGGAAGGTGTTTGTGGATAATCTTAGTCGGAGAGTGTCAAGACGTGCATTAAGGGAAATGTTTTTAGTTCATGGTCCAGTTCAGAGAGTCTATATCCCTAAGGAAACTAGAAACCCAAAATACAGATTTTCCACTTTTGCTTTTGTGCAGTTTGGGAATGAGGATGGTTTGAGAAGGGCTGTAGAAAATCTAAATGGAGCGATCATAGATGGGAGAAGGATCACGGTTGGAGTCGCAAGATACAATGAATCCCGAGCATGGGTAGAGCATAATAATAAAGATTTAAAGAAGGATGCTTGTCCGATCACTGTTGATATTTCGAATCCAAAAGGGCCAGATGATGTTCTTAGAAGTTTGAGGGATGACATATCGTACAAAGATGCATTGATGTCGAACAGGAGATCGAGGAGTGTTCTGGAGGTCAAAGATTTGGTCGTCGATGCTGAAAACAGAGAAAAAGTCAGGAAAAACATCATGCAGATGCACATTTCATCTGAGAGCTCGAGCTGGGTTAAAAGATCATTGACGGGGATTATCAAGAATTTATTTGAGTTAGAGTTAGTTCATAATGCTTTAGTTAATGAAGGCTATGACGTCCATATTGTTAGATGGGGGTATGTCTGGAACTCTTGTGTAATAATCTTTAAATCAGTTGAAGAAATGTTAGATGCTTGGATGAAGAAGAAAGAAGATCTTCAATTTTGGTTTGATCGTTTAGAGCCATTACTGAACGAAGATGGTGTTCCTTTGGCTTTTTGTTTGGTGGAGTTTTTTGGGTTACCTCTTTTATGCTGGAATGAATCTTTCCTTGAAAGGTTAGCAGGGAGATGGGGAAGGGTTATAGATATTCTTGATGACACTAAACACAGGGAAGATCTTACAAAGGCAAGAATGCTAATTAGGGTGGCTAGTCCTTTTGATGTTCCAGATCAGATTACTATTGGATCATATGAAAGATCTTTTAAAGTAACAATGAAGATTGGATCGGCGAATGATGAGTCTATTTTCTTTTCCACAAATCCTCCGGTGGTCAGTTCCGATGAGGGACAGTTGGGAGCGTTCATGACTGAGAACGAAGGAGATAGGATATGGTCAGAAAATGAGGAAGGTTCTGCTAGATCAGAAGAAGAAAACTGTCAGAGAGTGGACAGTTGGATGGAACAGGGCGCAGCTATCAGGCTTGATGGAGTTGGTGGAGATAATCGGTTTCCAAGAATTTCAAAAAATAGATCAGACATTAATGGAAAGTCAGTTGTGCAGTATGGAGGGAGCGTCAAAGTGGGTGAGTTTGCAGGTTTGGGATTGAGAGATTCAAAAATGACGGCTGCTGGGTCTGAAGCCCATTCAGAAGAAGATGAGTTTGCTGGGCCTAACGTAATGAGGATTATTCCTGCTGGGCCAAAAATTAAAATTGATAAATTTGGGAAAATGGTTCAAGATAAGGATTTGGCTAAGTCAAGTTGATTCAGCAGAGAAGATGTTGGGAGGGGTCAGATTCAGAGATAATTGAGCAGGATGGTTTTCGAGCCAAGGATTCTGAGTTAAGGGTGATAGAGCCTGCCATTGATAATTCAGGAAGCAAAGTTAAGGGTAGACTGTGTTATAAGTCTGACAGTTCGTTAAGCACCAAAAGTGTTCCGTTAGAGAAAAGGAAAAGCAGAAGTTACAAAAGGGTTTACAAAAGGGTTTACAAAAGGTGTAGGGGCAGAAAATACTGGATGGGAAGTATCTTGAATTTTAAGCTTAAGAAAGATAGTGCCTTAATCGTTAGGGACTGGAGAAATATGAATTCCAGAGGAAATCAACTGGATAGCTTGTTAGTGGATGCAGAGTTTCAGGGTTGTGAGGATGTGAATGATGGATCGAATTCGGGGGATATGAGTGTGGAAAGGGTGGTTGAAGGATTGCAGTTAATGGGTGATAATCACAGCTTTGAATCGGGTTTTTTTTTCAGAAGAGCTAGAAGACATTTGTTAAGGGAAGCTTTAGAAAGAGTGAGCATTTCAACAGCTTCCTCTTCAGGTTTTTCAGATTTATTGGATGAAGATTTAGTTACTTGGGAGATAAGTAAGCTGTTGGGTATTTCCTTTAAACAAGGACAACAAGCCTTTTTGGATAAGATTATTAGTCTGGAAAAAGGCTTGAGGATGGACAAGCAGGGGGATTTTGCGGGGGACTAGTTGGTTGATTCCTTTATGATGATGTTAAAGATATCTATAATAACATGGAATGTTAGAGGATTGGGTAGATTAGAGAAAAAAAGGGCTGTTCAGAGGCTAGTTTCCAAATATTGTCCTCAATTTCTTTGGTTGCAGGAAACGAAATTGGAGAAAATTCAAAGGTCTTTTTTGAGGAGTGGGTTAAATAATTTGAAAGGGGTTATTGAGTCACCATCGGTTGGTTCGTCAGGGGGTTTGCTGATGTTCTGGGATGATAACGTATTTGAGATGCAAAATCAGTGTACATCTAGAAGATTTATTGCTATATCGGGGAGATTTCGGGCAAATAATATCAGTTGCAGATTCATTAATGTGTATGGTCCTTCGATTGAGGAGGAAAAAGAGAGTTTTTTTTGAAGAATTAAGCACGTTTGTTGGAGGACATTCTGAGCCTATTTGTGTTGGAGGGGACCTTAATGTGTATCTACAGGAAGATGAGAAGATTGGTAGAGGCCAAAACAGGAATTCTTTAGATATTTTCAGTCGTTTTCTTCTTACTACAGGTCTAATCGATTTGCCATTGAGTGGAGGTAGGTTTACTTGGTGTAATAACCAAGATTCACCGACCTATGTAAGGCTGGATAGATTTTTGGTTGATAGCCAATTCTTGGCAACTTTTCCAGATTTAACACAGTCTTTGCTGCCAAGATCATTGGCAGATCATAATGCAGTAATTATTGAGAATGGAGGTGTTAATTGGGGGAAAAAGCCGTTTAAACTGTTTAACTATATGATGGATGAAGCAGGATTTTAGGATGTGATCAGTTCTTCAATTCAAGAAAGCAAAGAGATACAGATGAATGCTGGAATTTTCAAAATTCTGAAAAAAACCAAAACTGCTATTAAAAATTGGGCAGGGAAGAGAGGAAAGTTTCCTGGAGCTTTAATTTCAGAAATAGAATTGAAGATTCAAAATTAGAAGTGGAGGTTCAACAGCAGCAAGATGGTACTTATGATGAGAAAGCTGCTGAGTTAAAGGAGTTAAGGTCAGAATTATGGAAGTTGCATAAGATAGAGGAGCAGATTTGGTTCCAGAATTCTAGATCCAAATGGGTAGAAGATGGGGATAGAAATACCAGATTCTTCCATACATGTGCTTCAGTTAGGAGGAA